TGAAGAATAAGTCAAGGCTCAGAGGGGAACATTTAACATGACTGGAAGAGGAAAGAAGACAGGATTTATTTTGCAATTGGCTAGATAAGAAATGAGGACTGTTTTGTACTAGGGCAAAGATGTTTCCCTAAACAACCTTACCATGTGGGTTTAATTAGTACGATCTTTGATATATAGTAGTGATGCAGTTTGTCTGAACTCTTCTCACTTTTATTCTTTGTAAAGGAAAATGGTACTTAAGAAACGAAGAGCACCAATTTAGAACCCTTCCATTTGCATTTCTTTCTTTCCTTACAACCTGCAGAAAAACAGAATCACTTGTGACAAAGTACACGTATGATTAGTCGTAGAATTATAGAGCTGACACTCTACAAATCATTCAGTGTAACTTACTTAATGTATTGCTTCATTTGCCCACTTCCAGAATTTGAAACCAATACAGAACATTAGTACTTTAAATAGGGCAGAAGGATGAGAATTATGCTTATGAAAATGAAGAGAATGTTTATGGAAAATTTACAGAATAGGTTGGTCTATTTCTGTCAACTACAAAGATTGTTTACAAAAGGAAACTGAAAATAAAATGGCCTATCCTTGCCAACTTTTCTTGGGAAGTATAGTAATATAGTGACTATTGCCCTAAAAGGAAAGTAAAGAGAACTTAGTTTCCATTACTGGTCTTCATTGATTTATTAGATTCTTACAGGCTAACTCATCAACTTCCATGATTATTCAGTTTGTGTGTTTGTTTCTCAACAAGGTAAAAGACTATACTACATTTACTATCATGACTTCACAGAAACATTGGGAGAATTAATAAGGTATTATTTTTCAAAAGCTTGGAACACATTATGATTCTTCTATTTTTATTTTGGCATATAAGGTAGATAAATGAATAAGTTAAAACTCCTAGTACTCTGCTTTTGAATTTTTTTAATCACTAACAGTTGTGAGGAGTTACCAGATTTTTTCAATTCACTTTATTCTTTTTTAAAAATCAAATCAGCAGAAAAGATGGCTAATCTTGTCTTTATATGAAAATGAAGAACAAGTCACTTTCCATCACTTTATTTAGATGTATCTTAATATTGTGAATTAAAAATTGTTGTAAGATTTTTTTCATTGATATTTTATATTGTTTTTCCTTTTTAGAAGAATTTCATACTCCAGTTATCCATTTCTAGCCAAGGTACACTGTAATTAAACTTACTAAATCAAGAATAATGTATATTTTAAGCTAAAAACTTAGAATTTCTACAAAGTCTTAGAGTTGTAGGCAATCAAAAGGAAAGGTAGATTTCATTACATCTCTTCTAGATCTAAGGTGACAAGGCTATATTTATACTTACTAAATCAAGAATAATGTATATTTTAAGCTAAAAATTTAGAATTTCTACAAAGTCTTAGAGTTGTAGGCAATCAAAAGGAAGGGTAGATTTCATTACATCTCTTCTAGATCTAAGGTGACAAGGCTATATTTATATTTATTTGTAATGTAATATTTAGAGACAAACTTGAGTTCATTTTAGTGTTAAATGATGTAAAGAGTCATTGATCAACTTTGCACAACATATTTGATCTCTTAATAGCACATGACCCATGATGCTGGTGTTTTAGATAAAATCCCATGGTTTTATTTATTATTGTAATTTTAAATACTTAATCTCATGAAAAATTGTTTTAATACAGCTCTGGTTGAAATAGTTTGAAGTGTATTTGTAATAGAAATCTTTCAAATATATTTGTGTAGGATTTATGAAAGTAGAATGTTCAGTGCTCCCTCTCCTGGTTTTATCAGATTGGTGAACTGACCTCTCATCCCAAAATTGTAATAATAGCTAAGAAGACAATTTTTAAGAATGAAGTAAGATATTCTGATGTGATATTCTATTTTTGATTTGACTATTCCAAAGATATTCACAAGAAACCTATCCATCATGGGTAAAACTTCATTCATCACAACATCTCCTGAGATCTATAAAAAAATAGAAAATATATACAATAAAATCAATTTTATGCTTTTAAATAGGCTATTTTAATACAATTCATAATATTAAAGGCGAATATGTAGTTTTTTGGCTTCATTCTCATTCTATATTATTTTCTAGTGATTTTTGTTGTTGTTGTTCTTAACTATGCTGTAGGTTCCTTAGAGGAAATTTCAAACACAACTTTACTGAAAGTCTAATGTATATGTGTATATATGTGTGTGTATATATATACATATATATGAAGTTTCAACAGAATCATTTGCTATTGTAAAGGAGATTTTAAAAAATTACTTTGAACTGAAAATTTCCATACTCATATTTATATATGATTTAAATTTTAGAATTTTGTTTCTGTTTGTTTTGCCAAATACTTTAAGTTACTTCTGATATGTAGTGCTTGGAAAAATATTTTCTTTTTACTAACTATAAACTATAGTTAGTAAAAAGTTTTCAGTTTTTAGGCATCTTTTAAAAGTTGTCTATAGAACCTTAAATTTCACATATAGTTATCCTCACTGCAACATGAACTACATGATTTTGATGATAAATGTCTAAAATCCCATAGTTTGTAAGAAAACAAAAAACAAGTTTTCTAGTTATTAAAGTGTTTTTTCAGTGACACATCACATGTTATTAAGAATTATAAAATTTCTTAGTAAATTTTTTCTATTTTAATTAATTGCCTTTTAGCTGATTTTTAATAATAAACAGGTTGGGGTTTTTTTACAGAATTATACAAATGTATTATAAAATTGAAGAAATTTTGGATTTTTTCATGTGATTGATTTTTGGGAAATTATATCACAGGCCAAGATACACCAATTATTTAAAAACCTACAGTAGGAAATTTCACCTTTAAGACACATCCTTATATCACATTTGTAGTAAGGAGTGCCACCTTTTGAACTTACGGATTTCACATATTCTGAACTCTGTTTTAAATAGGAACTGTAACGTTATGTAAATATCTTTTTTATATCAATATGCATTTTCCTTCTAGTTGATCGGAAGTGATGGATTGGCATACAATTTGTTTCATCTTCTTTTATTCTTCATAATTCTTTTCCAAGTCAGCTTTAAGGGTGGAGTCGACCAATCCTTTTAATTCAGATCAATAACTAAAAACTGATAGCTAAATTCGAATGTTTTCCTTTATGATAAACTGCATTTGCAGAATTTTTAGAGGCAATCCGAAGATTTAAAGGATGTTTATTACACCAGTCTATAAGGCAACATATAAACGAAAGAGGAAACGACAGTTGAGGAAATCCTGTTCCAGGTTTTCGGGCAGCCCGTGTGATTGACACATGATATCACTGGAGGCGTGTCCTGGAGTGGAGGTGGAGGTGGAGGCGAGTAGCTGAAATTCTGCGGAGCCGGAGTGGGATCCCTCTGTAAAGCACGCAGTGGTTTGCAGAGTGATAGCAGCAGACAGAGCTCCCTGCCCTGGATAAGGAACAGCTACAGTCGCTGTAAATGTGTCTGAAAAGCAATTTCCAATCTTTGCATTAGGTAAGAACCGTTTCCTTCCTTTCATTCCGTAGACATTTTAGGAAAGATAAGGTGAGAAATGTTGGCTTTTGCTAGGAACTGAACATTTCTTAGAACTCGCTTTAGAGCTAAGATTACTGGTTGCATTTCAAAACACTAGTGGCATTCCCACTGCTAAAACTAATGTTCTTAAAGTAAATGCTATCGCTAAAAGAAAAAGCAGGGTTCCTTTCACCTTTTTGTTAACAGAACAGTAACAAGTTTAAAGTCTGAAACGATCGAATGTGTGAAACACAGGGCCGTTTATGCCGAAGAGGGGCTGGCACTCGGTGTGTGGACCAAATGCGTGTTTGTTTAGGCATTGTTGGCGACAGAATCCCGAGCGAAGCAATGGTTTAAAACCTGAATTTCCCGTCTCTGTGTATTGATTTACAGTGCGCAGAGGCGTTGCTTGAACGTTGTTTGAAATCCTAGGCGCTCGAAAGGCACAAATACTTGGGCAAAAACGTGCAGGACTGCATGTTACTTTGGTCAATGCTGACACGCCGCCTGTGCGCCGGCCTGTCAATCACTGGGAGCAGCAACAGGGAGCACATGGCAGCGGGCTGCGGGCGAGCTGGCGAGCGGTCCGCCCCGCTCCACGCTTTGCCCGGGTGGCGGGGTGCGCTACGGGTCCAAGTGCCAGGGAAGAAAGGGAAATTCATGTGTTTCTGTCTCTGATCATCTGGCGCAGGGATTCCGGCCGTGGAGCCGCAAGGTCGGAGGACTGGGAGTGAGCGCTGCCCGGGAGAGGCTGACCTGCCAGGACCGGAGTTCCCGGGGACGCTGTGCCCCCACCTGCTCAGCGTGCGGGATCGGGAAAGTGCCTCAGCCTGCGCGGGGGACAAGGGACGACGCCCGCCCTGAGAAGGACCCCCAAACCTCGCTCCCTTCATACCCCCGCCCCCACCAAAGCTGATAAAAAAGAAAAAATCCCCACTACCCCACGACCCGGCAGCGGCGGCCTCGGCCTCACAGGCGCGTGCTCCGGGGTCTCACCGGGGCCTGCGCCGCTCCCCGACCCGCCCGACGACGCCGGTTCGAACCCCGTCCTGGGCGCCGCTCTGTCTCGAACGCCCGTGACGTGGATTTTCACTCCTCCGGAGGCCGCCACCCCTTCCTTCCTTCCCTTCGAGGAGTGCGTGATCTGAACTCGAGAAGTGCGCTCTGCTGAGCACACCGTGCCAGTCAGCCGGCCCGTCACCCTCGCTTCTCTCCGTCGCGCCTCTGCTCGCTTTTCTGAGAGACGCCGAGAGCCCTCCCGAGAGGATTCTTTTTTAAAACCGGTTCTTGGAAGGGGGCTGCGGGAGAAAAGCCCCAGAGGTGGATGTTCCTGAGCCGCCCGGCGAACGCGAGCTGTGAGAGGTCTTTGCCTGGCAGCGCGGAGTCGCGGGAGAATTGCCCTCCGCAGCCGGAAGGGGGCCGCGGGGAGCGCTCCTGCCCGGCGGCGGCGGGGGCGGGGGAGGCCGCGGGCCGACTCGCCGCAGCTCCCGCGATGCCTCCTCGTCCTCCCCGCCGCGGTTGATGCGGCGAGCGCACGCCGCCGCCCGCCGCGGACCTCGGCCGGGTCGCACGGCTTGGCCCCCAGCCACCGCTTCGGCCTAGGTGAGTGTGCGTCGGCCGCCCTCGGCCCCCGGGGGCGGGAGTTGCGCGGGCGGGACTTGCTCGGAGCGGCAGGTGCGGGCTCCGCGCAGCGGCGGCCCCGGCCGGGCTCCAGGAGGGGCGGGGGCGAGGGGGGAGGGACACTGCCTCTGTCGCGCGGCCCCTCCCGCCGCCCCCAACCTCCGGGGGCCCGAGGCTCCGGGGGCGCTCGGGGCTGCGTGGCGGGGTGGGCTGTCTTCCGCGGCTGCGGTCTCACGGTCCCCGGTTGCCTGGAGCGGTGGCCCGGGTTGTCCCCTCGGAGAAACCCTCCACGCGAAAGCTGAATTCAAGCCTTTGGGGGTGCACACTAGGGGGGGTCTGAGGCGCTTTTTGGCCTGTGCCACGGGAGGGCTTTCTGCAGAGGAGTCGGTCCTCAGCCGTGGGACCGGGAGGCCGCGTGTGCCTGCGCGTTTGTGTGTGTGGGGAGGCAAACCCCCGGGATTCGCTGGTCACCCCCTCGAGAAGATTCGGCTGCGCCAACGCCAGCTTCAACTTTGTTTTGAGGGCAGTGCAAAGGCGAGCGAGGGGAGAGGGCACTGCCACTTTAAAAGTGGGGAAGTCCGCCCTCCTGAGGTAATGGTAACCTCAGCCTCCTCCCCTCCTCCTGCCGGAGAGAGGGAGAGAGAGAAAACTTGTTTTCATTCATAACTTTTTCCTTTTCCTTCCTCTCCGTCAACTATTTATTCACCGCTCCTCTCGGTGCGGATTGCAGAGGGCGCAGCTCCACTGTCGTAACTGGCAATGTGGCGGTGCTTCCCCGCCGCCCCGGGTTATTTCTCCCCGGCCCTCGATGAATCCGGCTCTGGCTTTAAAGTATAGACAGATACTTGCTTATGAACAGCCAGACCGTGGACTTGCTTTTGGCGCCCGCGCTGGCTCTGGAGGCTCTTCATGATTTGTCAGAAACCTCGGTGGGCTGCGCAGAAAGTGTGTTGGAAATCCACGGGGATCCTTGTGATGGGATTGTACGAAAAGGTATCCTGCTTCGATTCTTGTTTTCTTGGGGGAAAACTGTGTGGCGAGAGCGTGTGAGCGAGTTTAGGGATCGATCGAGGACTGTCACTGCTTGAAAATGGGCTTTTCTTCGGATCAGAGGTGGCGAATTTTCTTTGCTTTTAATTTTGATCTGGCAGCTTAATTTACCAGCCTGCCTGACCTTCACTACAACTATCATTTAGAATGCAAATCTAAATTGCGCCTGGAGTTTTGGGTTACACTCTTCAAATCCTTCTCCACGGTTTCGCCTTTCGTGTGGGACCTGACAGCACTTGGAGATATCCTTTGCTTTCAAAGCACTGGGGTAAAAAGTTCTTTGAGAGGAGCAATGATACTGTGCAGGAGTAACGATTAGATGTTTTTAACAGCCCTAAGGACTCCAGGACTAAATCCCTCGGGTTATCAATGTGTTTCTTCTCGTGTGCGGAGCAGGTAGAGTTAAGTGGAAACTTGGGAGAGCTGAGTTGTGAAAATAAGGACAACTCTAAAAAGTTAACATGTAAGGCATATTCTAGGGACATTAGTTAACGTAGGAAATGGACTTCATTCTGCTTTATTCCTTAAACCTGTGGTTTTGGCTCAACGTGGTAGTGGAGAATGGGCATTTTTGTCTTTTCATTCTTTAATTGGATCGAACCTGTAGCTTTTAGAAGGAATTTGTGTGAAAAATATTCTAGTCTACCATTGAATGAAAATGGCAACCTTTTTATGTTTGATCATCTGTTGTATGAAGAATACGTTATACATTAGAAATAATTTACTGTTAATATGGAAACACAAATGTCTGTTTTTATCAGGATATTAGTGTACTCGTTTTATTACAAGAAGTACATTGATTCAGAGTTGGCAATGCTTTTGAAAATGAAGGTCTGTCATTAAATACACATTTTTAAATTAGAGGAAATACAGATAATTAAAACCACCAGGATTTCCCCATGCTGCTTTAAAGGCCTAATGCTTATTTGTGCATGAAAGTTATCTTGTTATGTGAGCTCTTATGTAAGCTTTAAAAAAAAAATTTCATGATTTCAAATGTGAATTCCCTGTTACAATATTCACAGAACTATACATTGAGTCTTGTGTGTGTGTTTTAGTGGCTGTGAAACACCAGGAACTGTGGTGTTCCTCATACATTCATTTTTGCATCTCAGATAAATAACGAGCTGCTTTAAAATCCTGATTGCTGCTGAAGATCAGCTCTTATTTTGAGATTTCATTTTAATGTGGAATCTCAATTTTTTAAAATGCCTTGATTAATTTTTCATTATTAATCTAATGCTTATAATAGCACACAAACAGGAAAAAGACAACAAAGCCATTTTCAATTTTTTAAAAAGTAGACATTTTCCTTTATGGAAACCACTGATGAACTTACACTGAGCTTTCTTTACATGAGAGCTATTCCACTGCTTATACTCAATATTCCCTTCCAAGGCATACTCCATTTCAATTATTTGTTAAATTCACAAACAGGAAGGCATTACTTCCTCTTAATTCCGTTTCTCGAACGTTGGAAAAACTTCCAGTTTTTATGGCATGGGGTCTCTTGCTTACATTCTTCTTCTGTGATGTGGTCCCCAGCCTCTTTTAGAATTGGACTCTGGCCAGGACCCCAGCATCATTATAATCCGCTGGTGAAGGAGATCATTACTAGGTGGTTTAGGCAATTTGTGACTTGACAGGATTTTTCCCGTCAAAAAATGCTTCCTGTCATTTATTTTTTCTCTCTCTGTTTTTTCATCTTTGATTTCCTTTTAGGATTTCAGATGCATGCCAGGTTTCCACTGATTGCCAGAATTCGTGATCACTACACATGGATCCCCAAAATCAACATGGCAGTGGCAGTTCGTTAGTTGTGATCCAGCAGCCTTCTTTGGATAGCCGTCAGAGATTAGACTATGAGAGAGAGGTTCAGCCTGCTGCTATTTTGTCCTTAGACCAGATCAAGGCCATCAGAGGCAGCAATGAATACACAGAAGGGCCTTCAGTGGTGAAAAGACCTGCTCCTCGGACAGCACCAAGACAAGAAAAGCACGAAAGGACTCATGAAATCATACCAATTAATGTGAATAATAACTATGAGCATAGACCTACAAGCCACCTGGGACATGCAGGACTCCCAAATAATGCCAGGGGCCCCATTTTGAGCAGATCGACCAGCACTGGAAGTGCAGCCAGTTCTGGGAGCAACAGCAGTGCCTCTTCTGAGCAGGGGCTGTTATTAAGGTCACCACCAACCAGACCAGTCCCTGGTCATAGGTCTGAAAGGGCAATCCGGACTCAGCCCAAGCAACTGATTGTGGATGACTTGAAGGGTTCCTTGAAAGAGGACCTGACACAGCACAAGTTCATTTGTGAACAGTGTGGGAAGTGCAAGTGTGGAGAATGCACAGCTCCCAGGACCCTGCCATCCTGTTTGGCCTGTAACCGGCAGTGCCTTTGCTCTGCTGAGAGCATGGTGGAATATGGAACCTGCATGTGCTTAGTCAAGGGCATCTTCTACCACTGCTCCAATGATGACGAAGGGGATTCTTACTCGGATAATCCTTGCTCCTGTTCACAGTCCCACTGCTGCTCTAGATACCTGTGTATGGGAGCCATGTCTTTATTTTTACCTTGCTTACTCTGTTATCCTCCTGCTAAGGGATGCCTGAAGCTGTGCAGGGGCTGTTATGACTGGATCCATCGCCCAGGGTGCAGATGTAAGAACTCCAACACTGTCTATTGTAAGCTGGAGAGCTGCCCCTCCCGGGGTCAGGGTAAACCATCATGATTTTCGGAGGTGGATGGCACCTCCTGAACTTGTAGCTTTTAAGTTGTGGCTGTTAAAAAAGATCCTGTTAGATACTGGTTTTCTTTTCTTTAGAATTTTTCCCCATTTCCTACCTTCTCTTTTCCTGTTCCCAAGAGTTGACTCATGGATTTTACTCTTCTCTCATGGATGATCTTCAGTAAGAGTGGACTGTGAAACTGCACCCGGCTCCCACTTACTGCAAAGCCTCTGCCATCCACTGGAGAAGAGGGTATTGAGAGCCAGTGGGCTTTTGTGTAGCCTTTTTGTTCTGCAAGCAACTTTCCAAAGTTGTATACATGAATATACACCCACACCCAGACTATGGTGATTTAGAGCTGTTTTTGATTGGGTACTGTGGGAGCAGGGAAGTTGGTTTTTAAAGAAACAACTGTTTAATTGCTTAAATAAGCTATGTATTAAATCTATTTCCAGTTAGGGGCATTTTCCTAGCTTTGGACCCTTAAGTAGCATGGGGGATATATTTTTGTTATAACAGAAAATTTTCCTTTAACCACTGCTTTCTCCTTGTCTGTCCCTCAAAGTTCTCTTCCCTCAGTTTTGGCATTATCTTACCCTGGAGATGCCAGGTGTTTCTTTTTTTTTTCTTTCTTTTTATGTAATTTTAGATTCACTTTACAATGTACATCTTCACATTGGAGATATATTGGTTGTATCTTGCTCATCTTTAGCTTTCATGTTTGTGAAAGACTCAGCCACCTTCCTTCCATACCCCACGCTCTTCACCAAATTTTTGTTGTCATTGAGGGCACTTGGATAACTGAAGTTGATATTTATAGCTGATCAATCTATAGGTGTCACAGAACTATGTTGCCTAAAGTGATCTTGGCTCCTTAATGGTCCTTTTGGCCCCTTGGTTAGTTAACAGCTAATGCTAATCTTTTCTCTGTTTTCATTGCCTTAACCACAAATTGTGGTGCTTTTTGTATATTTTATGTATAAATCACAAAGTTGAATTCTGACTATTTTTAAGACAAAAGTCTGTTAAACTTTTTTATTGTAAAGAATATTTATTATGCGAATCTTTATTATTTTATGATATTTATTGCAAAAGACTGTTGATGTACTCATGTCTGAATATAACGAAATATCAATACTTAACAGAAAATAAGGTGACACGAAAGTACATATGTTAACTATAATGCAGAAAATATATTAATTAATGAAACTGTCTCTTGATTTCTTCATTTATTAGCCTGTACTATTATGGTGGTTTTTGTTTATTTGTTTTGACTTTTTCTTCCTACACACCGATTTTACTTCTTTCCCTTAAGATACTGAATTTATACACAGGTGAGCTCTAATTATGAACTAGATGGAAAGTGCGTTAATCAAAATTTTGTAATCCAAATTGTTTCAACAAATGCCAAAGTGAATTACTTTATCAAAGTGAAAATTTTTTGTAATATTAACTAAATCACTCCCTACTTTGGCCATTTTGTAAGCATGAAATTTTGTGTATGTCATAGTTTCTTCAAATGGAGCATATCTACAGCGTAAATTTAAAAAAAAATGTTTATCTTAACTCTTGCGTTAATCAGAAATTAACTTCATCAGCAAGACTTAATGAACTTAGTTCTGTAGACAGGAGTCTCTGGTACTCTCACTTTAATAAAGCATTCTAGAAGTCAGAGTGTACCAAAAGAATAAATGGTTCACAGTATCAGATGTTTTAAAAACATTTCTGTCCGTACTTTTTCACTTCCTTTAATAAGTCTATAATGTGGCCTGACCAAATTACGCTTTTTCATGTCCTGTGCAATAAGAAATCCAAGGGCCCAAAACTTCATGTGGAAAAAGTAAATATTTTACATCTTATTTTTCAGTCTGGTGAAACCACTATGTCGTTAGAATCTTTGGATCTGATAACATTTTTGGTCATGAATATTTAAACTCAGTCTCACTGAGTCTCGCTATGACTTCCTATGACTAAATGATATGTCAATAATTAACTGCATTTGAGAATAATTATTTGCATTTGAGAAAAAGATGTTGACATAATTTGAACCTAGGTTATCAAAACTCTTAATCCAGCTTTTTGTTTTGGTCATTACTCATAGATGATTTGGTTATTAGTTTAGGAGTGTGTATTTGTTCTTTATAAATAGGCTTTGACTTTGTTTTATGTAGACAAGGTATAATTGGTAGAAATCTGTTTTAATACTTTCCCATCAAGCCACTAAACCTATTTGTTGGCAATATGACATTTGATCCATCAAATGTCACATTTTCTTTATGCTCTGAAAGCAGGAGGATTTTAAAAGATGAATGTGTTTTGGAAGCTAGGTCATAATCTAGTATTTTAAATTGTAAACTTGAATATTTTCCTCTCATACTCAAGTTATGTGATGTCATCACTCGTTCTGTAGTATTTACAGGGTATTTCATTGAGATTTGGCTCCTTAATGAAGGATATAAACGGAGACTCCCCCAAAATACTGTGGGTTTTTTTCTGTTATTGTTCAGACCCTTGGTATAATTAGAAGTTGGTATAAGAGCTGTCTTCAGCTGCAATAACTAGACTAAGAAGTAGTAGTACCTTTTATTGAAAGAAATTTATAACTTTTATGAGAATGAAATATGCTGTGCAGTTTTTAACTTCTGGCTATAGGCAGAATACGTTAAAATTAAAACATTGAGATAGTGGTCTGCTGTTCCTAGTGCTCTGTGTGAACTCTGCCATAATGTTAGGTCCGTACTTTGAAATAGCACTAGGTTAGAGGTTCAGATTTCTAACAGAGGCCTATCAGGTTGCAAAGCATAAACAAACACTTTGATTCAAAACTTGTTCTTTTGCGATGGTTTAAACCTAGGAAGAAAAAATGTTAGGATGTGTCCTAATTTGTCATAAGTGCTTGTGAGTCCTAGGCGTTTGAACCTAATTCTGATCATCATTTTAAAGTACTAAGACTTTGAAAGAGTCAGATGGGATTTCTTACAATGCCACTGCCATTTATTTAATACTGCTGAATGGAAAATAACATGTCAAATAGATTTATTTATTCCACACATTTGTCCTTCCCCAAGTAGTACAACTTTACAGAATGGATGTTTTTGTTAAATGGTTCCTTTGCAGTATACTTTTTGACTGCCACATTTTTTTGTTTCAAAGAAGTCTTATTTAGATAATTTAATTGTGAATAAAACCAATACAGGATTTCTGCAATTGAGTAGTTTCCTGTTAACAGTTTATAAAATGTAACCTAACAGAAAAATGAAATGTGAAAAAGTAGACATGTTTCTTTTTGTGAAGGCTTAAGGAAATCTGTAAATATAGTCTAATTATATGGTTTTCAAAATCTGAACCGTAGAATATTCCAGATACTACTAAAAAAAATAAAAACTAAAACCAAAAAATAGTGGTCTTTAAAATGAAAGGAAATGAGTTAAAAACTAATTATGTTTTTAGCCTAAAATTGATATTGGAACAAAACTCAGAGGATTGATTTAATTTTTGAAATGTCTCCTTTTCCTAAATCCTTCCTTTTTTTATAGAGTGATGTATTTCATGGCAGATTTTATATATAGCTCTTTATACAAAAAACACAGTCCCTTTTTGAAACATTACAATACTGAAACAGAGAAAAAGAGTGTGTAGACACTTCTCATCCTCAGCTCTACCCCACTTCCCACCATACATTTTCTTTTTAACTACAAGAGAGTTTGGTGTTTTTGAACACCTTGAAAACAAAACTTTAAATCCTTCTTTTGGCCAACTGATAGTTCGAGGGCTGTTTTTTTCATTGTTTCACTGATTTGATATAATCAAAGTAGCCATGTTATGTACTTATCTGACAGTTACTGATTCTCTTCTAGTATTAGCCATTTTGCTGTATTTATTGAACACCTACTATGTGCATTACTTTATATACAGTAGAATCCTAGAGCTAGAAATAGATCTCAGAGTATATCTTAATGTTTCTCAACCATGTATGAAAACAAATAGGTCACTAGTTAAATTAAAAATTCAGAAGGCTGTGTCATGGCTCAGACTACACCAGATACATCAGAAGAATCTCCATGGGAGGGGCCTAGTATTCTGTATTTTCAAAAAGCTTCCTGGGTGATTTTATCAGGCCACTTTGGAACTGATTTATGTAGCTAGCTGTCTTCATTTTGAGGATGTAGAAACAAAGGCATGGCTTGAGAAGGTAAGAAAGTGTTCACGATAGCTAGGGTAGAGCCAGACCTCTTTCATCTGATACAGATTTTCTTCTTTCTTAGCAGCCAGCTCAGTGCCTTTCTGCTGCAGCTGCAGTTAGCCTTCACCATTCCATTCTCTTTACCAGAAAGTCTTTCCTTCATAATTAATATATTTGGCCATAATTTAGGAAACGGAATGTTTTTCTCCATATGTTATCTACACTTAGCTATCAGGAATAAGTAGCAAATAACTTCATTGCCATGATTGTTTTTCATGCATTAAAATTAAAATTAACAGCTTAATTTGAAAGCTGAGTTTGTATGTTTCCTCTGGGTTTATATGGTGATAATAGAACAAATTGATTTAATCAGTTTGTGAAAGGTAATACTAACTGACTCTGCATCTAGATTTAAGAATTTGTGTGATGGTACTCCTTACCATTTTTCTGGCTGCATTAGATTACAGTGATTAAAAAGCTACTTTCAGTGTTCCAGTTTGCATTATTAAAAAGATGATGTCTGGGCAGGGTGCAGTGGCTCACGCTTGTAATCCTAGCACTTTGGGAGGCTGAGGTGGAAGGATCCCTTGAGGCCAGGGGTTCAAGATCAGCCTGAGCAACATAGACGCTGTCTCTACAAAAAAATTGAAAAATTAGCTGGGCATTGATTGTGGCATGCACCTGTAGACCCAGCTACTTGAGAGGGTGAGTGAAGCAGGAGGATCATTTGAGCCCAGGAGTTTGAGGTTGCAGTGAGCTATGATGATGCCACTGCACTCTAGCCTGGGCAATAGAGCGAGACCCTGTCTCAAAAAAAAAAAAAAAACAAAAAAACAAAACCATGAAAAGATGATGTCTGTTAGAATCATAGTAGATATGGTAATAATTCTAATTGCAAAAACTATTAAAGAACCTAGAACTGTTTTGAACTGGATATTTAGGTGAAATATACTGGAAGCATCATTCATCAGGTAGTCTAAGAATCTACCTGGACTAAATAAAATACAATAATAAATAATCAGAATCATAATTTGATGAAGTAATCATAGAATCATTTCTGTGTAGAAAGAAACTTAAAGGCCATCTAATCCAGTCTTTTTATTTTAGAGATGAAAAATTCAGGTTCAGGAAAGTTAATTGCCTAAAGTCATGATCTAGTTGCCAAAATAAACTATGAAAAACTCCTTGCTGCATATGTACATGTGATAAATGGCTACAAGGAAGGAAGGAAAGGTTGACTGAGGGGAGTGGGGGTTGAATGAAAGTTTCAGCCTCATTTATAAGTTATAAAATTGAACAAATTTGTTAAAGTGTACTGGATGAATGGTAGTCCGCAGCAGAGAAATAAGTGCCGTAAGAAGGGATCCAGACAAAACTGGCTGAGTAAATTTGATGTAAGAAAACAAGGTGTGTGTTTGAGAAAATTCAGTTCCAGTTTGGCTAGCAGTGGTTCTCAGCCTTAGCTATACATTAAAATCACCTGAGGAAAAGACACCACCAACAACAATGAACAAAAGTCTGTGCCTAGACACCACTTTAGGCCAGTTTAACCAGAATCTCTGGGAGTGGGTCTTGGCTTTGTTTGTTTTATTAATAAAAGCACCCCAGATGATTGTAAAGCCCAGCCAGTCAAGAGCCTCTGCGTTAGATCATAGGTATGTGTAGGGAAATTGTGGAAGATTAAAATGGCAGAGATTAAGATAAGAAAGCCAATTTAGAAGAAGAAAGCCAGAGATAGTAGGGTCCTGAACTAGCTTGTAGGTTAGTAGGAATGGAAAGGAGGGGAGTGAATGTGAGAAGTATTGTAGATGGCAAAGCTACAGGACTTTGTGGTTATTTATATGTGGGTTGGAGATGGAGGAAAGAATTGAAAATAATATTGAGGTTTTAGACCTAGGCAAATGGGAGAATGGTAGTTCTTTTAAAAGAAATGGGTGGAATTAGTTTTGGGTACGTGAAGTGGGACAAGTTATGAGTTCTGTTGGGATAAACACCTATAAAGTGCAGGTGGAGTTGCCTGCAGATCATCGT